CCCCCCCACCACCCTTATCTCTCGTCCCAGTCCAGAGCTGCTAACGGGGGCTACGCAATGGAAACTGACAGTAAGCCCCCTCCACATGCGCCACATAGCGACTCCATGTAGCCAAGGAATAAAAGGTATTAGGCACTGGGGAAGGGAGACTCCTTTAGGAATGCTGGATAAAAGCTGGACCGCCATCACAGTGCATTCCACAGGCCTGTGCTCACTTTGTCAGCCAGCGTGTCTTGTGGGCTTGGGGGAGGCCGAGCCCCCCAGCCTCCAGCCCGAGTCAACAGGTGCCAACTTTTACAAGAGCGGGCCCGAGCGAGGGGGTCCCCCCCCATCCCGGGCAAGCAGCACTGGCTTTAACGAGATCTCAAAAATAGCCCCTGCTGAAGCCTGCCGGCACCGGGCTGTGCAAGCCACCCCCCCAGTGGAGGTACCCCAGCACCAAGGCGGCCCGAGGCTGCAGGAGCAGGGATACGAGCCTCACTGGTCCAGAAACAGCAGCACCACCGTTCACTTTCTTTCTGCGTATGAAACCGGGACAGGCTCCCACCGAATAGAAAAATATTTTTCTAAAACACTTCACTCCCAGCTTCCAGACAAGCAAAATTGGACTATTTCAAATACTGTTAAAAAGCACAGGTTTTAAACAAAAAAGTCATTTTGCATTACCCTTCATGCATCAGACCCCAGTGACAACTGTACAGAAGCTTAAATTTAAACCTACTGTGTATTCATTATACATGAATATAATCAGATATTACACCGAATAATAGCTACATTACTAATTAACACTCTTGTGTGTAAAAGGACCAGTCGTTTTCCTTAAGCACTTACCATGTAATTTACCACAGGTTCCAGAGAGTAAAGAAGGTGACTTCACTTCCCTCTTGGCTCAGTTACAAGTTCCTACAGACGTTACAGGTCCGGACAGTGAAAGGCTTGCAGTGAAACCTTACAGGACTGAACGGCTAATTTGAGGGAAGCTTTGCGATCACCACAGTATTTACCAGCATTCTCTCTCCTAATCACAGCAAAGCACTATATACTAACCAGCTGCTGACGGACACAACACCCAGCAGCCCACATGCCGAGATTTACTGGGCTCCAAAAACCTCTGTCACACAGTCTGCTGTCAACAAGGACAAGTAGTATCCTAAACACTCGGTTTAAAAACACTGGCTCGCTACACACAAAAACCTGAACCTAGAAAGGGCGCAGAAAAAGAATGGGCTCTCTGAAAGCCTTTCAATTCAAAGCTGTGCCCATCACAATCACTGACAATAGTCATGAATAAAAATCTTGAGTTTATTATCTACGAGACTAACTGGGGTGATGTCCTTTACCAAGGCAGTATGATTATGAGTGATTTATAAACATGCTGAAGTACCAACTGCCACACTACAAAGCTGCCAATGTTAAGACCTTGACCTTCAGCATCCGACAAAAGCCAGTGACAAGGGGCATTAAAGCAAATAGGGAGCTTGATGTATGAGTACTATGTTATGTCTGTAGATATTTAGAAACTCTTTTTCGCCCATTCCATACCAAGATGCACAGATGTTATCTTCAGTACCGTCTAAATGGTCAATATGTGTTTCAGATCCCATGGAACTCTTTATGAGAGAAGTGGTGTGACCGCGGTATCCTGTCTAAATTTGTCTTAGGGTTTGGCCTCCCTGAAGTTTCACCTTAGTGCAAGGGGAGCTAACCAGCTTGTGTTGGTTCCGTGCTTTATGTAAAGCACTGAGATCGTTGGGATGAAACACATTAAATAGCTCCTTACATTTGTAATTACTGGACATCAATTTTAAAGAAAGGCAAACTGCATCTGCAAAAAAAAATGAATCCCCAAAAAACGATGAACAAGAAGTGAGGCCTTAGCTTAGCTCAATGTTTAGTTTTTTTTTCCAGTCAGAGCTCTTCAATACAAATTATCTTAACAATATAGGCAAAATAAGGTGGGCATTTAAAAAAAAAGCATAATAAAGAAACCGAAAGGCTGTTTCCCCAGGCCAGATCAGATTCATCCATTTACAGCACTTCCGAGTTGTGTATATAGCAACTCACCAAGTCAAATTCCTTGCAAGCGAAAACTTACTTGGCCGATAAAGTGATCGATCTATCTATCGAGAAACCTAGAGAGATGGGGAGGTAAGGCAGCAGCAGTGAAGACGAGCGGATTGCGCACTCAGCTGCAGTTGCTCTTGGACTGAACTCAACGAGAGGGGCTTTCACGGAGCGACACTAAGGGGAACCTTCTCAATTTAAATCGGGGGCGTTCCTAATTGGCAGCAACAGCAGGCTCGGCCGCCAGGTCCATGCATTGCCTATCTGTTGAGCGACATGTCGTCCTCAAGACACAACAGCACCCGCTCAAGTCAGGAGCTCTTTCGGGGAGCCGTGCTGCGAGAGATCCGACTGGGCTCCTGACCCCCACAGCCTCCCAGGGGCAGTCACTCCAAGTGCAGTCTGCTGCAAAAATCATGCTTCGCATTCCAAGCTCAAACAACACATCGGACAAAGCTCGATATTCACAAAAAGGGCCTAAAAAAAATTGTTTTTTGTTCGTTCACTGAGGAATCAGTGATTGATGCAAAACCAGAGACCTGCATCGGAGGAGTATAGCACATGTGATATGGTTAACCATGTTTAAACCTAAAAAAAAAAATAATTTCAAAATACAACATCCTCGGTGGAATAAACTTTCCTATTAAAAGTGTGATGTAGGAGCCTCTCTAATTTGAGCTCCGTGAGCACGGTTTCAAAAGTGGATCAAGTCACTAGCTGCCTCTGACTGCGATTTCCCACACAGTGGTGCACA